ATACAAGGTTTTTAAGCCCCAAATCCCATTCCTCATTCTGTCTTAAACACAAAGGTCCATCTTTCTCCTATTCACTACCTGTCAACCCACTGGTCAGGTGTGCAAGCGGGGAGTACAGAAGCAGAAAGCTTGTTGTTAGAATGTTATGTTCCTATGGGTGATTGTCTATGTTCCCATGGGCAACAGCCAGTATTCCCATGGGCGATGGCCAAATAGTAATTTTCAGCTTATGTACAATTGATTATTTTTCATGCCACGCAAGCAAGCAGGGTTACACAGGCTAAAATTGGCAGTTAGTGTATGAGCTCATTGTTACAAGTTTCATGAGTAACAAAATGTGGTTAGGGGTTCCAGAAACTAGGCCTAAGGTATAGACTTCCTTTGTCCAGTTTCAGTTTTTAATTATCCTTTAACCCTTTCATATTTCAGCAGGCTATTACACTATCTTTCCACATTGTATGCGTGTATCAAAGGAAAATGGGTAAACAAAGTCTTTCAGCTGTAACACACAGGAACTAAAGAATGATGTATAAACTGACTTCCCTACTGTAGGTCCCTCTCAGTGTCTTCACTCTGTCTCTCTCACTGTCTCTGTCTCTCCCTTTTGTCTCTGTCCCTCTGAGTCTCTCTTAGGCTCTCTCAGTCCTTGCCTCCTGAGTTTCTCAGCCTTTCTCACTCTCTGCATCTGAGGGGAGAGCATGCTCTGTCTATAAAGTGTTACCCCTTCTCTAATAAACTTTTCTTCTGACTGAAACTTTGGTGGACATCTGAATTCCTTCTTGCACTCAGCATGAATCCTCTTATCTCTCACTGCAGGGCTTTTTGTCTATGCTTTCTCTTATCTTTGCTTTTTCCCTTCTCTAATAAACTTTATTTTTACCTTTATTGGGAGTTTTTAACTATTTATTGTAGTCAGCGAAGAACCCTTTTCTCTCGCAGTACAGGGCTTGACCTGCCCCCTCTCCCCCAACCTTGGGGAATTTGCTCTGTCCTGTATCAACAGGAAATATTAAAATATATAAGGATTTAATGAGTAAATGTCCATAGAGAACAAAAGTTGGCATTAATAAAGACTATTAGTTTAACAGGAAAATAATTGTTCTATCTAAAAATATATATTAGTGGAAGATTATTGTCACTATTCATTATAGATTTATTTAAATAGATATTCAGTCATTAATCATTAAACCAGGTAATATGCTTCCCACTAATATGAAATGTCATTTTATTATACACTCATCTTCCATATGTGCATATATCTGTTTCTGACCCTTTGCTTAATTCAGTGGAAGACCCTAATATTTTAATTAACTCATCCCCGCTCTGCTCACTTAATTACATGCTGGGTTACAAAAACAAAGTCAGTTATAATCTACATAAGATAACATTGACAGATCTTAAATTCCCAGGTTGATGCATTTTAACACTTATAATTGGGTAATGAATTATTTCCAATGTTTCTTGGTTGAAGAATATTTCCGATGTTTCTTCAACCTTTACAACTCCCTGTGCTTCTTTGCAGTCAATTTCCCTTATCAATGGCATAATTTCTACCATAAGATTAGTTTTGCCTGAGCTTGAACTTCATATAAACAGAATCATATAGTACATATACTGTTGTATTTTTTCACTCAGCCTAAAATATGTATGAATCTGCCATATTTCAATATAAACTTTTATTTGGTGGAGATTTAGGTTCTTTTTAGTTTTCCCTTATTATTCTTTTTCCTCAGAATTTCTGCATTATACAGTTTTGATTTTTTTGTTTTGTTTAAATGTTTTTGGTTTCCATACAATCTCTATGCTGATTCAGAGGACCAGGAAATTTCTGCTGTCATTTTGATTGAAACCACACCAAATTTGTAAATTAATCTAGGGAGATTAACAAAACCATAGGAAGGTGTTGTTGGGGCAGAGAGGCATAAGGAGCACAAATAGGCTGCTAATGAGGTAGCATTTATTGGTGTTCTTCATATTTGTCTACAACCTTCAGTCAGAGTATGGGGGGTGGGGGAAATCACTGTTTTCTTTTGTTGCCAGATAGGAAAGATACTCTTGCCCCTCCTCTCCTGCCCTTGCCCTAGCATTTTCTTTAGAAAAATTTGTAATTCTCTGTTCTGATGTGAGATGTATGAAAATCTGTAAAAGAGCTACATAAACTTCTTGGCAACATGACAACCTGAAAGGTCTTTCTTAATGACCTTGTAGGCTTTTCTTTGAAATGTAAAAATCAGTGAAGATAGTGCTTTGAAATCACCCTTAAAAATTCTATGTTCAGTTCAGTGTAGGCACCTGGCCTTGAACTATAACCAAAGGCTTGCCATTGAGATGGAAGAAAAATCTCTTAGATGAAGATATTAGCCACCCCTAGTTTGGCTAACATTTGGCAGGATTAAGTGTTTTGAAATGCTGGGCACTTGAGTTCGAGTTCAAAAGACACCTACCTCCAGAATTTAAGAATTTTCTCTGTTGAAATTAAAAACAGAATAAGAATGACAGTATTTAGTACTAATATTGTATGTTAAAGTATTGGAGCTCCTTTTCATATCAACATAAAACCATTTAAAAAATTGTTGAACTCTTATTTTTGTCATTAACTAATTAAGCAAGGATTCTGTGTATTCTCTGTCCAGAACTGAAATACTCAATTCAAAAAAGTTTCAAATCTTGCTAAACATTAAGTTATTAGGCAAATTATCCTAACCCGAGATCCTTTTGAGATGAGACATCTCTTGCAGAATTA